GTGCAAGCCAGCGTTGCCAGCGTCGACGACACGGGGTTTGCTGCCGGCTTATTGGTCTTTTTCCGATTACTGGGCGGGTTAGTCGGTCTTGCGATCGGGTCGACAGTATTTAGCAGCGTTTTTGCAAAGTCGATTAAGGCGCTGGGAGCCCTGCCTAATAGCCTGGCCGCGCTAGAGAATAGTCAGGCCGCGGTGGGGTTTATTCCTCAGTTGAGGGATCTGAGGGGACAGGTGGGGAAGGAGGTCTTGGACCAGGTGACAGGAGTGTATAGTCATTCGTTCCACGTTATTTGGATTGTGTTGATTGTCTTTGCGGGGGTGGGATTAGTGGCGTCATGTTTTACGAAGGAGGTGAGTATGGAGAAGGAGGAGCTGGGCAGGCAGCGGTTTGAGGAGTAATCTATACAATCTCTGGTTACTATCGGGATACACATATTGCTTAGTTGAGGGAGCTGTTTGCGTGCTACCCTAGTACCTGATGCGGACAGGAAAAATCGGGGTAGGGTTGGAATGATGTGGATGCACTGCTGATTGGGTTTAGCCTGGGACAAGAGGAGTGTACTGGCCTAATAGATAACCAGATAGATGGCAATTGGTCAGATATAGGTACTTCCTCCTACTAGTCAGCTCCTATTTCTGTTTTGAATTAGTCTAATGCAGGAGCATCTCACCTGCATCTGACCATCTCCACCCCGACCCCGAACCCGACTCCGCAAGTTCGCGAGTCCGTCACCAAAAGTCTTCCCTCCCCTCCTCACCCCGACCTTTTCATCCCACACGCGCACACCATGTCGCTACTGCGCTCTAACGGGGTGCTCAGTTCCTGCGAACCATGCCGCAAATCCAAGATCCGATGCGACCACGCCGCCCCTTGCGGCCGATGCCGGCGCAGACGCAAGCCGGCCCTGTGCGTGTACCAACCGGCCCCGATGTCCAAGCATCCGAACAGAACGGATCGCAGCTCCACCGACTCCATCTCGTGCGGAAGTGGCAGCAAAATTGCTACCAGTAACAGTATCAGCAGTGCCTGGACGAGCCCGCTGCCTCCTCCCTCGCTAGTCACTCCGCCCTTGCCTCCGGGCCATCTCCGTGACGGCTACCTCGCCGATTGTAGTCACCGCAGCACCTCGACCCCCAGCACTGGCGTCTTCGGGCCCACCAGCTACCTGTCCGTGCTGCGCGACGATGTTGACGATGGCTCGTCTAGTATAGCCCTCTTTGCTAAATCCCTGCAGCAAAACACCAGCGCCATCATCGACGACAGCCAGATCCAGCTTGGCGCCGAGCTGCTCCTCATCCTGCTCGATGATTTTGCTTTATACGAATACATGGCCACAGCGCGGTTCGACCACTGCCAAGGCGATTTGTTTCCCCCATCTGCCCTGCGTCTGATACTGTCTTCCATCCGAACTATGCTGCACGGGGCCATTTCCGATCCCGCTAATCCGCTCCCTTCTCTACTTTTCCTCTCCCGAAGCATTTTTACTGCCTCCTCCAAACCATTAATCGTAGACCCTGCCATCACCCCCACGGAATATTTTTCCTCTATGCCGAACCGCTGGGAGATTATAGGGCTAGTCTTTGCGGTGATTGGTTCCAGCGCGTGTCTCCTCCCGCAACACGATCTGGCTGCGTATTCCCCACCGAACCGTCCCCCACTTGACAAAAAGGGTCTTGCAGCTGTCTGTGTGTCCGCGAGTGAAATCTGTCTTCGTTTTTTCGACTACACCGGTGTCATTTCTGAACAGCTGTGTTGGGCGACGCTGGAACATGCTTCGCTTCTTACCCTGCTCTATGGGGATTACGGTACCCCTTCCCTTCCGTTCCCTATTCACCCTCACTCTTCACACCTATCACCTAGTATCCACTAAGCAAATTTCCCTCTCGCCCTACTCTGCCCCCCCACCAATGCTAACAACGAAACAGACTACCGTCCCTACAAAACCCTCTCTGCACTCATAACCCTTCTCTTCACCTTGGGCTATCACCACCGTGATGTTACGTCGAAACTTCCTTTCTTCCGCGCGGAACACCGCAAACGCCTGGTCGTCGCCACCTACGCCATGGACAAAGGGCTCTCCACATTCTTAGGTCGTCCACCCCGCATGATCCGTCGGTATATCACCATCGACCCGCCACTGGACATAGCCTTCGCAGATATCATAGCCTCGCCAGAAGTTCTCGACGCCGCGATGACACGCCTAGATAATAATGGATGGAACGCAGAGGGGGCGTATACACGGGGATCATACGCGAGAGCATGCTTCATGATGGGAATTGTAAGGGAGGCAGTACTAGAGGTTTCTCTGGATTCGAACATCGTGGAAGGAAAGGGGTCAGAATTGGAGCAGAAAATCACGTGAGATGCCACCGCCGCCCCTTTTGCCCAAAGTACCTTTCCCTTTGTCTTCTTTCAGTGAAGAGTTGCAGAGGACTAATAAGAAAGAATGGTGGAAAAATCAACAGAGAGATATCCGCCCTCGCCACAAAAGCACGTCTTTCGCTCCCCTCATCGCTGTACCGTGTCAGCACGCCATCGGACTTCGACCGTTGCCCCGAAACAGCCAAAGTTTGCCTCTTCGTGCACATGGACTCACTTTATAATGAGTTCATTCTCCAGCGAATCTTAGTCCAGCGAACGGGCGCCAGCACAGAGAAATTGATTGCTGTCGCGCACGAGCTGTTGGACAATTTGTTGTTGTTGGTTGCCAATCGCGCTGTCGGTGGGGGGGATGGAAATTCTGTTGTTTGGATTGTATGTTCCCCTTCCTCTTCCTCTTCTCCCTCGTTGATCGAAGAACTTAGATCTCATCACTTGGCCTACCCCCCGCCGGTGTCCTGGCTGTTGAACTGCTGCATCAATCTCAGAACCCCAATCTCAATCATCAGTCAGCAGGGGGGTTTTCCCGCTCGGAAATCATCCAAAATCTGAGCCGCTTTGCTGCAGATCTTGAGTATGTGGTATCCAAGCAGGCGGGGAACTATGATGTTTGCCAGCAAGCGAAATCTGTGATTAGGCATATCCTTGATCGGGTTTTGGGGGGAAAGGGGCTTGTTGTGGAGGTGGGGGAGGAGGTGGAGGGTGGAAATGGGAGTGCAAACACCAGGGGAGATGTAGGTGGTGGAGGGGCGGCGCCAGAGTTTGTGGCACGGGATTGGATATCAGGGGATTTTAATGCGTGGATGGATGAGGATTCGGATTTGGTCAGGTGGTTGAATAGTTTCGAGTAGGTGATGTCTTCTGGTCAATGGGTTGTATTCAAAGGAAAGGGAATGAAGAAAGACCATGTATAATATATTAATGACCAGTTGGGATGTAGCATCGGATCAAATTTATCACTAAAGGTATACTATATATACTAGCTTCGAGATTAACTAACTTTTATCGCATTCTATATGTTCGAAGGCCATTGCTTAGAAGACTGGTCAGTTGCAATGCGCATGCAATATGGTTGTCTGGACACCAGGAACTTTATGCTTAATGGAAGCGTGTAGAAAATACTACTGTGACCATTAACCAATATTAATTCGAGCACGCGGGATGTTAATTTCTTTCAATGGCACTTGCTGCTAATTATGTTTATTCACAGACATCTTCTAAAAATTAACTCTTCACACTCCTACCGTTCCTGCCCCTTCGCATGTTGTTGTTATTTCCGCTAAAATTGTCCTCAAACGCGTCTTGTTAAATACTGCTCTGAGATATTCTTCTCAGTTAACCGTGGCATTTAGTTCTTCTCAAAAAATTATTGCTGCACCAAAATGGCTACCAGCGTTCCTAACCATCGCATAATTGAGAACAACTTTTGTGCTGAGGCTGCTTTTCTTGTCATTATATCGAGAGCGGTTTTGTTCGAAATCACCCTGCGAGCCTCTGAATTCTTCGGCACCTCTCTAGAAGTGCAGGTCAATGGGTGGCTGAAGAAAGTTAACGGAAGTGAAAAAGCCACGGAATTCGAAGAAGCCTCCAACGACAGCGAAAATTTCGAAGAATTCTGGGACTGGTTAGTCGTCCCATGCGCACAATACATTCGACGCAGTGCTCCAGAAATACAAGGACCTATTAGCCTACAAAGCTTTACCTTTCCTCGAGCTCACGCACTACAGTTGCTGCCAATTGATGAATTAATCACAGCAGTTCCCACTGTTACTAGACGCTTTTCCAAATCCACTCTTCCTACGATAAGCGCGTCAATTTCAGGCCTACCTCCTAGTGTCCCCAAAGTCAGCGCAGCCGATGTGCTCATTTACCAGGACCCAGATTGCGAATTCGACTATACCTGTGACATACCGCGACATGTCAAGGTAGCGGAACGCGGCCTATTGTTCAAATCTGCCAACAATATCAGTGCTTTCATTAATGAAGTGTCAGCGCTCAGCCGTGTTACCGAACTCGGCCTGTCAATCAATGTGTCGAAGCTCTATGCTATCGTGCTATCTGAGAATGGGAAGATACTCCTTGGCATATTGATTGATTGGCTTCCATTCGGGTCACGAAATCTCTGGAGCGATGAACTCATTCAGATGAAGGAATATCATGCCAAGTGGAATAGACAGATACTGGATATTGTGGAGGTCCTTCATTCCCACGATATCATATGGGGCGATGTGCATCCGGGAAATATCGTCATAGACTACGATTTGAATGCCTGGGTCGTTGATTTTGATGGTGGGTACCGGTCGGAGTTTGTCGACGGGAAATCAGCAGGGACGAATCAGGGAGATTTGGAGGGCATTCGTAATGCCTTTTGCAACTGGCTACCGCGATGGTACCTGGATTCTCAGTCGAATATGGACTGCGATGAAGATTGAATGTCGTATGATATGTCGGACCCTTCCACCTATACGAGCTGACTAGAACTTTCAAAGACAACTCGGTAGAGCTATGCTAGGAGTCATTGATCACCTGTCTGAAGCATAAATGGCGTGAAAAAATAATGGAAATTTGAATCGATTACGAGATATATCTGATAATCGTTAAGCTTTTGAGATATCATCGATCATAGTGAGCACCCTTCGCATTCCGAGCTAATGGACGTCAGTAAAGCCGAATGCCAAAATAAGGCAATGGCTTCGAGCACTTCGGGAGATGTATATGGATAGGAACAGCTGGATATCTTGGTCGCTGTAGCAATGCACGATTCAATCTCCGTTATAAAATTGCGCGAAATACCATACGACTCCAGGCGGTCCTCAACACGAGATTTCAGGCCGACATCAAATATCATGTCCGGGGGTTGAAAAGAAATGTCTTGCAGGAAACCGTTGACAACGTCTTCGTAATCTGTTTTGGAGATGTTACTTCCGGGAGATATCTTCTGGATATCAGCGACATCGTTTTGAGTGACTGCCTTCCAGAGAGCGGCAGTCAAGACCACAAGGATGAATACAAGGAGGGGCCAGAATAGGAAGTATATCCCATTTAACCAGAGACTCTTGTAAGGCCTCTGGATGAAAAGGAACGCGTTCGTGACGGAGTCCTGTCCTTGAAATTAGTCACTACACTCACAGTATGCTGAACGGACTTTCTGTACTCACCATTGTTCCGGTGAGTCAAAAGTGTGCTAAACATACAGATATCGCGCGAGCTATTACTACAATCAAGTGAGGACCTTACGGGATAATTTACCCTCATCAAATACCTTTTGACGGGGTCCTGGAAATACGAGCAACTCTCATCACATGAGAGTACTATCGCTTAATCGGATCTCGGATTTCAGCCTTGCGCGATTTTTAGCATTGCGTGTGATGGGCGTCTGATCGAAACATGAGTCATTGCTGATCCTGTGCATACGCTGAAGGTGTCATTCTGAACCACCAAAAAAGTACCTTCGACTGTATACATTATTTTAAGATTGCCGAGCTTTGTGGCATAATACCCGATATCTCCGGCCTCGGGGTGTGATTATACCCAACTGGTGCTGGTACATGATTAGTGTAACCTTGAATTATGAGTGAATTGCCAATGAAAAGTCAACAAAAAGTACCTTGGGGGAATTTAAAGGATGCAAGGCATCTTACTGGCGAAAAATAGCGCGACGGGCTTGTGTTACCCCGTTCCCCTCACCAGTAAAGTCTCAGACTCGTATTTCCCTGGAGTGATCTGCATTGATGCGTCTGGGCGGCTATCGGATCTCAACTGCCCTTAGCTTACTTCAACGGTTGATGCGTGTATCATCAGATAGGCACTCAAGGGGGGAATCTGGTGGGCCAAGAAAAAGCTCCCCGAGTAACTCTTCCATTTCGTCTTTGCGACGTCCACACATGTAACGCCTGACTCGCTGGACGGCAGAACGGATGCCATTATAGCCATGGGGTTAATTGGATATCAGACATAAAACAGGCTTAGCTGCAAGGAGAATGCATCAGTAGACACCAAGATGAATGGACAGTCAGTCCTAGGTATGTGCACAAACGGACTTCTCCGATAATCAGCTCCCACTGTAAGTAGCGCTTTGACTCAGGCATTGTTCGTGTGTGACGACATAGATTACTTCTTTCAGAATCGTAATGTCCATGCATTATCACACGGCCTTCCTGTACCATCACATCCATGTATTCTCCGAAACCTTCCTTTCAGACTTGTTTCCCAAGCGACGCAGACGTGCAACTCAGCTCACCATTGTAGTGCCTGTCCAAGGGGAAAGTAGAATACTATATATACGGCCCTTCAATTGACAATATGTTCCCCGAACTCTGAGTCGGGAGCATTGGACTTGTACACGTTTACTGGCTTTCATTGTTTTAATCATCATGACTTCTACTCCATACTTGCTTCAGCCAGTTTCAAACATCTGCTTGGCTATGCTGGACAAGCAGTTCAGTCATTATGTCTTTATTTCAGCCCTTGTTCTTTGCATTTTGATCGGGTACAAACTCTTCATTAAGAGAGATGATGCCCGCCTACCTACTGGACCAAGGCCTCTCCCGATTGTTGGCAACATTCATCAGATGTTGACTCAGCGCCCCATCGAAGTGGTGCACAAATGGCACCAAAACTATGGCACCATGGTGGCCTTCCGCTATGGCCAACAACTGGCCATCAGCATTGGCTCTTTTGATATTGCACAAGAACTGTTGGCCAAGCGAGGTGCTATCTACAGCTCACGTCCTCAATTTGCTATTGCGGCCCGCATGACCCGCGGAGTCAACTCGGCTATCATGCCATATGGCAAGGAATGGCAGAACCAGCACCGTATCATGAGCTCATTGCTAGACTCTACTACAGTCAATCGATATTGCCTCCTAGAAAACATGGAAAGCAAGCAAGCTCTCTCCGAACTCCTGGATAGCCATGAATTTGAGGCAATCATACGCCGCTATGCTGGTAGTATCGTTATGACACTTGGGTACGGCATCCGACTGGAAACAACTGACAACGATATCCCCGTCCAACTCCTAGCTCTCAAAAATCATCCCTTCGATGCCATCGGCAATAGCTATTACCGTGTGGTTGAGCTGTTCCCAGTCCTTGACAAGCTACCGGAATGCTTAGCACCTTGGAAGAGGTTCTCGGACAACGTGGAACAAGAAACCACCAAGTTCCATATGAAACATTTCGAGATCGGCAAGTCAGCGTCTACGTGGAACTGGGTCCAGAATGCCCTGAAAACAAAGGCGGGGTCGCAGATCGCGTCCACAGAACTTGCCTATGTGATAGGGACGCTTCAGCAAGCCGGCTTCGAAGCTATTCTTACCGTTCTACGCCTGATTATCAAAGCCATCGTGCTGCACCCGCAGTGCTTAAAGGAGGCCCAGCGAGAGCTAGATCGAGTTGTTGGGCCCGATCGGCTCCCTTCTTCTGAAGATATCCCTCAATTGCGATACATCAACGCTATCTTGAATGAGGCTATGCGCTGGCAGCCGCCGACTCCATTTGCAATTCCGCATGCAACTACGCAGGACGACGAATACATGGGATACCAGATACCAAGTGGTACAGTGATTATTCCCAACATCTGGGTCATGTCTTTCGATCCGAAGGTTTTCCCAGATCCGCATAATTTCAAGCCAGAGAGGTGGATCGACAACCCAGACCTTGAACACAGCCCGTTCGGCTTCGGTCGGAGGATTTGCCCTGGCAGGCATCTGGGCTGGAATAGCGTTTTCATTCTCATGGCACGACTCATGTGGGCGTACAATATTACTCACTCGTACAAAGGTGGGAAGAGAATTGAAATCGACCCGTGGGATATCAAATTGACGTTTACAGCAGCATCTAGGCCGTTCAAGGCCTCATTTGAAGTTCGAGAACCGAAGAAGCAGGAGATCATAGAGAGGGAGTGGGAGAATGCGACTAAGGATCCTGTTCAAATTTTGGAGGAAATCGGGCGAAAGACCGGGTGAGGTAAGAGGCTAGTGAAGCGTGGGGAAAAGGGAAGCCAAGCGGTTCGATGTATTGTGTTTCCTCGAGTGATAGTCACCGACCATTTCTTGTGTAATTGAATCCGGATGTTTTGATCGGAGCGAAGTATGATATCGCCAATGCACTGAAGGTAGCAAGGCTGTGTGTGACAATTTGGTCGGAACTACAACATATGTTCCGCTGCGTAGTAATAATGCCTTCTCTACTATAACTATCCGCGATATAACCTTTCTGATTCATAAATAGTAAAGAAAACGAATGCAAAAAACATACAACAGAAGGGATTCGCTGGTGGTCACCCACCCAACTACTAACCTCCCGGCGTGTGGCTTAAGTACGGCTGAGCGGACGGGAAGCCCTGTTTTCCACACCCTATGGTCGTATGTATCAGACTTAGAAGGTCTAGGGTATATATGCGCATCTTTTCTACATGAATTGGTTATACTACTCTGCCCTGCAATTTAATAACCAGACCCACCTTACACCTCGCGCAGTAATCAATATTGCTGGCCAAGATCAGAACCAAATAACACGAATATGTCACATCTTCAAATCGTATATTGGTAACTTCCTTTAGTGGAAATAATCTACCCTTTATGATGTCTTTATTTTGTCGTATTTAGGTCAAATGAGTGCAGCGCAACAATTGATTTCATCCTTTGTGTGGTATCGATTTGTCTCCGAAGCCGGTGATTGACAGGAGTCATTCGCCTGAAAATTCAAACCATTTGATAAGAAGGCAGTTTATCCAACATGCCTAAAAGCCACAAAGGGCTAAAATGATTTGTTCCAGCTGCTTACCCGGAATGGTATCCCCGCAATAAGCCACATATCCATCGCCCACCTTTGCTCCTACCACCGCAGCTTGTGTCTGGTCGACAGGTTCAGGCCGCGTCCGCTCCGTCATAGCACCTTTGACAGGAATGTAAATTTTCTCCTTGGGGCGAGCATTTTTGATGAATACTGCCTCCATGCTGTATAGTGTAGGGAGCGAGGTAGCCTCTGTTCCGGCTGGAAGGGTGCACTCAGGATTAAATTCAAATTTGGTTCGTTCTTCATCCCCTATAATCCACGGCAAACCTATTCTCACTCGGAAAAGGCTCCTGAAACGGTCCTTGGTCACGAAACCGGGGAAACAGAAGCCAAAAATGGCCAAACCTCCTCTGCGCATGTAATCCTCTAGCTCCTCAACGACGAGTCGGTTGACGGGTATAGTTACACCTTCATCAGCGACGATGACGACTTTGGGGTTGGCTTCCAGGCCACGCAATGCCTCGTCAATGGTTGTCGCACGCTTCACATTGGCGCATTCTCTTAGGCGTTTCAGAAGGGGTTCAACACGATCCCCAAGATAGTCTGTGGGTGCGATACATAGAAGAAGGATCTCTGGGCGCTTGGACTCCATGTTGCCTTGTGGTGTTGTATGAAAAGAGAGAGCCCAGCAGTAACAAAGATGATGGAGAACTGAGGGCAAAGTGGTTTCACAATGTATAGCGAGAAGCAGAGGACTTGATCAGGACTATATAGCAGAAGGTCCTGAAGGTGTTGTTGCAAGTGGCGATCTAGATGGGACTTCCTACGTGTGGCAGACCATTAGAACGGCAGTGACCGATATAGTGCTGTAATAGATGAGAAAAACTGGAAAGCTTAAGGACGTCATAAGCGCAATAGTTACTGTCATATTCACTGATAGTATTCATAATAAACTTAAATCTGCATAGATCTGGGCTCATATAAATCGTAATTTACCTTGCTAACACTGGCCATAGACAATAATCTCTAGACTAAATTCACTAACTGGCACTTGGGTGTAACATTATCCGAATAAACTTCACCAAACGATGCTAAGCCAAGCCCATAATATTAATGAATAACTAGGATCGGACTGATGACAAGTTGTAGAGTCATCACCCCTACCCAGCAATGAACCGCGGAGCCTGAGGCAACCCCCGACGCGGCATTAGAAAATAATCACACAAAGTGGTTTTTGAGCCTGGGTTCTCCTAGATATACCATTTCCTCATTGAGACTACCAGTGTACAGATCCACCGGTACATTCAATTTTCAGATGAGCTACTGCTAACTGCACATAAGCAGTAACATCTTGCACAATCCCTCCTCAACACTCTCGTTCCCGCAATAGATTAAATATCCTTTGCCTTGCTTCCTTCCAACTACCGCGGCTTGACCCTGTTCCTTAAGTCTTACCATGGAACTTCCCAGAGGAACAACAATTCGCTCGATAGGTGAAGCGTTCTTGATAAGATGTGCCTCCATATTATAGGAGCAGTTAGGAACCGTTCCGGCTGGGACAATGCAGTTTCCATTGAATCTACAAATGGTCTTGCAGCTGCCGTCATACTCCCAGGGTGTGCCAAATTTCCGACCAAAGAGATTGTTGAATTCTTCTCCAGAAATAGAGCTGGCAAAGTCCAGCGCGAATGTTACCAGTCCACCATCCTCAAGATAGGCCTTTAACCTTCTCGCTATGTCTTGGTTCTCTGGCTCGCTTATGCCCCCGTCTGTCACGATGATTTTCTTCAGGCTGTGATTCGCTAAATATGTGCGTGCAAGTGAGGCTGTTGGTAACCGTACTAAGTTGTATCGCCTACTCAATTCCCCAATGAGCGATTCGTAGTTGTCATCGAGGGTTTCGCTGTATACCAGACACAGGAGGGCGATGTCTCCACGGCCGTTGGACTCCATGATAGTCATGAAATAGGTTACTCAGTGGCACGTGATTTGGATATAATTGGTGACTAATGTAATGAGAAGAAGGTAGTAAGGTGTTCAATTGGTGAGTAGAAACGGGCATCTCTATGGGACCTTTATATACACCCGGGAGCTAATACAGTTTTGGAGATTTTATGGCAGACAATATTCATACGAGAAACCCATAAAACCAGTTTCCCTATGCGCCGATTGTTTGGGATGCGGGCTCTGCGATGGCAATGATGGCTCTGTCTTTGACATTCAGCCTTTGTTGGGGTTGTTTGACGCAGCGATGCGGCCATTTCTTTGTATAGATTGCCCGGAAGTTAGCCTGAGTTTGATCTCTTGTCCCTCCTACTTGTTTCACTGAACAATGAAAATGTGTTGGGGAATTTGCCCGACTTGTCTAGCTCGTTAAATCAACCTTTGACTAACGGTCCGTTCTGCAAGGACATGTACAACAGTACGCAGTCCACTGGTATCCGCAATTACATGCTGGTGCACTACCTATAAGTTGCGAGCACTAAATCCTGCAGCTGGGTATATAATTGACTACTAGAGATACGGAAGATAAGTGGTGAGGTCATCGATATTGATATTATGATTCCTCATATAACGAGGAGGTTATGTTATTTATTACTCCTGATCCCTAACTATCAGCCTACTGAGTACTACTACTGCATACCTCTGGTGCACTCACCTCGAAGGCATGTTTGGAGGGCACGGGTATACTATTCACTGCCCCATGCAAGACCAGCAATGAGCGCGATATTGATAATCTTGAACGACTAACAAGTCTTCCCAAGTGCTTTAATCGAAAACTGAATCGTATTATAATAATTCAGTCTTCAGGTTCGTTTCTACTTTACATCAAATTGTATGCTTTTTATTTCCCTTTAGCGAAATCGCTTTGGGTAGGATTTGCCTTACAGAGATGTTTATGTTTATAGTGTAGTTCGCTGCGCTGTTATAAGCACAAAGGAGAAGTACGGGGCTTACTGCAGGTTCAAATTCCGTTCTAGCTGGCGATTAGGCGTGCCATTCGTTTTCTGGGTTGGTTGGCCGCGGTCAGGCGTCCAATGCTGATTTGTGCGGGTGTGCGGGTGCAGACGTCATTCCCGAAATGATCATTTGCTGTCTCCCTTATATTCACGACTTTTCCATTTACTCCTGCTTCAATGTCTATTCGAATACTAGGATCGAAACCAAACGCCAAAAAGTATGAAGATCCTCATTGTGGGCGCAGGTCTTGGCGGCCTCGCGGCTGCGTACTGCTTTGCCAAGGACGGCCACCATGTCCAGGGAAGTAGACCACCCTTGAAGTTGTAATCCATCTAATGATAAACCTATGCAGGTCTTTGAGAGGCGAGAGAAATTGTCGCCAAAGGGGAGTGGACTGCTGATCCGTCCTGGCGCGTCTCGCATTCTTCAATCCTGGGGCCTTGGAAATGCCATTGAACAAGTCGCGGACAACTGTCTCCCGATCCTCATCCGAGACCTGAAGACCGGGAAAGACAAGATACGCACTTTGCCAGCATCTCTCACCAAATATCCAGATTGGGGCATTCATCGGCCCATTCTACAGGATATTCTCTACCAACATGCCGTGCACGCTGGGGCCGAGATTTTCTTCAACAGTTCCGTAGAAGACTTCTCAGATGAACCCGGCGTAAGTCCAAGCTTACAATTAAAAGGAGGGGAAACAATAGCTGGCGATCTCATTCTCATTGCTGACGGGATTCAATCACACCTGCGTACTAAAGTTTTATTTGACGTTTCCGCGGGCTGGTCGGTAAACCCACAAGTCAGCGGTTCGGTCTACTATGGCGTAACAGTGCCACAGAAAGAACTAGAATCGGATAGTGACGCCAGTTTATTGCTACAGGAATTCGATACATGTGTTTGGGCAGGCGATGAACGTTTTGTCATCGGTCGGAAGCCCAGAAAAATGGAATTCTGGAGCGGCTTGTTCGGCCTCAAACATGATGATGGCCATGCCAGCATGTGGAGCGAGGTATGCGTCTAGTCCTATGCGATCAATCCTTTATGATACGCTGAAAACTACCAAGGATGGAGATATCGCATTTGTGAGGCAGCGTTTTGAGGGGATATGCCCTCCACTTTCTGCAGTTCTCAAATTGGCAACTAAGTGCGACAGGTGGAAGATTGCCCAAATACCAAATCTTCCCCGCTGGACGAGTAGGACTGGCAGAACCATCCTATTGGGTGACTCCGCCCATGCAATGGAGCCCAATGCAGCACAGGTTAGCCTAACGTGGAGACTTTCAAGGATAACTGGAAATACTCCACCACTAGAGTCATACGCTAATTCTCTCTTGACAGGGCTTGTCGCAGATTATCGAGGATATTGGGGTATTGCACATATTGCTTTCGTCACTTCCTTACCTGAATGTCTCAGTGATAAGTAGATTCTGGGAAGATATTCGAAAGCCTCGTGTTGAACGCATCAAATCCTTTGCTGCTTGGAACACGCAAAGGTTTCTCGGGCACAAAGATCACGCGGCCTCGCATCAAAAATATGCTGATACCGACTGGGAGTCCATCAAAGATATCGAACCAGATCCTGCTGCAGATTTCAGAAGCCCTGCGTTTTTCAAGTGGGCCCACGACTATGATGTCTTTGAACAAGTGAGTCTGTGTCCCCTCGGCTCGAGTGCATTCCATGGCCGTAAATATAAGAAGAGAAAATAGAGATAATCAATTATATAGAACCGCTAACAAGGGAACAGACTAGAAAGTACTTGGAGAAAGTCGACACACCAAGCTCGCGATTGTAATGGTTTCATATAACATATGCGGGAAAAGAGTGGTTTCTTATCGATTAAAATTAGGAAAAAGCTGACTTTGACTTTTATGATAATTCACTTAGCTATACTCTTCATTACTATGTATTTGAATATCTGTATCATGGCCGAACCATACCTATCAATAAATATTACTCAAAATACAAGATGTTTAAAAGAACACCAAAGTGTCCACCCAATATAAAAGCAATATTCAGCGATTCAGCTGTAATCAGCTGCTGAGATAGTCGTTTTAGTGTCGATTCCACAAGTCCTAATAATATTGCTGTATTGCGAATGAACTTTTTGAGTGACTTTGAAATGGTTTCTATACCATCGTTCTATTAAGCAACAATAAGAATAGTAGACAACTAGATGGCGCGTTTCTTTCAACTTCTAGGCCCCTGCTTTTGGCCAATCAGCCTTGCGACGGTGGACTTGTTACTTGAATGGAATGAACGCGCACGGTTCGTGAAGGATTTACATTCATTTTTGGGACTAACATCAATCGTTCCTACGGCATCATGTGGGTGTATTTAAACAATTATGAGAAACAGACGTGAAAATCAAGGAACCGAACCGCCCTAATAAGCCAGATTAACAGTTTTGTTGACCTTACGTGCCTTCAAGGAACGACTTTCAACTACAGCAGATACGTAATTTCTGTTATAATTCTATCTGCTGGTTCGGTCACTCTGGCTTCAGAGCAGGGTCGACTCATTTCGAAGCCAGTAATCTCACATTGAGAGCAGCCAACACCACAAACACAATGAGAGAAAAAGCACCACCCCAAAAAGTCCACCACGCTCGAGCGTCCCTCCTGTCAAACCACAGCTGCTTCAGTGTGGTGGGCTCCTGGTTGTCCAGGTATGTTTTGAGGCGACGCAATCGAGGACCAAAGTACTCATAGTCTATGAAAGCCTCGTTTGAGTGGAGATCGTTTTGAAAGATAGACATTATCATAAACATAATGTCCTCTGGATAGTACGGAGCGAGGGCATGAATCTGCCGCATGGAGCTGGTTGTGAACTTGTGTTGATTGAAGAAGCTAGTATCCTTAATACTAGCAAAAGGGTTGGCAACGTTATAAGCGGCTTGAATGCTGGGGGGAAGCGAGCAGCGATGGAAGTTCTCCAGGATACGGGTTGTTGATGGCTTGGCCAGATCGACATCAAACGACTTGCTAGTGCCCTGTTCCATACCTGGCCGATGGCAACTCGGATCGATCTTCCTTCCCAGCCAAGTGATCTCGTTTGACTTGGTCGCTTCTTGCAGCAGTCGCAGTGCCGGTCGGGATGATGGTCTAAAAAGAAGGGCGTACGTCCGAGATAACTCAAGGTGCAAGGGCTCAATATAATCTCTTTTCACGAGATCTCGGCAATTGTAGAAGAATGTGGGATGAGCAAAGATCCTGAGCGCATTGCGGCCCGTGAATATCTTGAGATGATCATCCAGATTATCCGTCCATTCAATCCTCAAGCCGCCAAAGTCCTGCAGGTACTGAACCGTGAGTGTGTCGGGGGAGAAAGTCGGACCAGGGAACTCTTCAAGTGGAAGCTCCTTGAAATCCTCAATGCCCTTCATAGAGCTTCTGTGACATTTTTCCATGCCAAATATATTATGGATTGGCTCCCTTTGATATCTGGTATAGAAGGTGAGACAAAGCGCATCTCGAACTTCAAGGAACCGCGACGTAAAGTCCAACGCACCCAGGCAGTCGTAAACGAGATGGAACTGGTATCGCAAAACATCAGGATTATCAGCATTAGGCTGAGATAGAATACGCCGAGCATAACAGCGATGCAGCAGTTCCTGCAAAGTTGTGTCATTCGCACTCCAGTATCTGTCGTGGTGCACTGTTCGACCCACTTCAATGAGAACCTGGAGGGTTTGGTCGGCGCCGAAGTAGCGACAATCCACACAGGCTCCGTTGCGGCATTCCAGACCATCGTTTCGTCGGGCTTCCAAACGAGCCAGTATCAGCAGTAGGCGGGGTAGGCGTGAATATTCGAACGCCGCGCGTGATGGCTCCAGAGGACAATCAAATTGCTTACGCCGATATGCTTCAACGGCGAAGAGTGCTTCCAGAAGGTCGTCACGGTGTTTGGATAGGATATCTGCAGCAAAAAAGATATCCTCATTTTTATGCCATCCCAGAGAGTGATATATCTGGGGATATAGGTCAAAGGCCCACTGGTAAGCATTGTCAGTGGTTTCTATGTCAGCTGGAGGGGACGGCAAATCCTTCCAGAAGGCTGCAACAAGTTAGTATTGCTTCGGATTCACTATTTCTTCGAGATTCACCTAGTATTGAAGGGTGTTGTGGGGCAATACATACCTGTGTATTTCTCCCTATACGAGTCATTCTTTTCATCGATCTCCTCTTGTGACATGAGCTCCACAGGGTTCTCCTCTGGGATGTGCGTTGGCCGCCCGGCTGCAATTTCCTCGCTCAGCGCCTTCAGGACAGGGTCACTGTCCTTAGCGTTCTTTGATTTCAGTTGACATTCTCGTCGCTCACTTTCCTGGTGAAGCAATCTCACTAGGCTCTGTATCGATGCTGTCAAGTTCCGCATGGCAGCCAGGGTACTCTGATCCGAAGTGGTGGAGTGATCTTGTTCCGGCCTGGATTCATCCATGGTTGCTGATGGCGGTGATGGCAGTGGTAGTGAAGAAGACGATATGGAAACAGATATGTATGACTGGCGAAAGAAGGGGCAGATACAGGATATTTATGTTGCACAGAGATGGGAGGCCAGACGTAGCTGCCTATCGACGAGGGAGAAGGTGGGACGGGGATTGACTTGGTGGTTACAGTAGCCTCGCGGGAAGTTACCTCCTACTGTCAGCGCTGAAAGCTAATCTTAGAGTGAGAGAAGCTTATTGTAACATATGGCAGAGATCGTTGAAAACATCAAATTATTATCAGGGAGATGCCCAAAAAAAAGAAAAAGAAACATAACTGTGGCATAAGCCAGACAAAAGAAAACAAGATAGGTCGTGCCCGGGTTCGAACCGGGGTTGTCGGAACTCTGGAAACAACGAAGTCTTCAAAATCCGAAGGGATGACCACTACCCCACACAACCACATGTTGCCCGATTTTTGCCGGAACAACCTATCCATGGCTAGAACTGTGAAATGCGCAATGTTTTGTATCCACACGTTCCTGGGACATGCTTCAGACTAAATTGATATTAGTTTTGTTTCCTAGAAGGATGGGTATGAAGGCTAGATGACTGACACCGACCGTACCCTAAAGCTATTCGTGCTAGTATACTACCCCTTTTACTAGGCATCTTTTCTTTATGCACGACTTACATGACAAGAGACATTATGCGCAGCAACAGCAAACAACACAGTTTCAGTCAGAAAAATAATTCATCAGCCCATCAGCCACAAAACAAGAACACTATAACTAACGTCCATAGTATTAATCAAGCTGAGATACTGCAGGGTGAGCCTGACAAGGCCTCGGCAATCAAGTGACTCTCATCAGGTTAACTTGGCCCGAAGCGATCTCCATCCCCCTTGCATCGGGGTGTGCGGAACTCGCGTGCATGCGGCCAGCGATAATTATACAGGCGAATAAGCTTTCAGCACCTCTCGCTAACGGTACAATCTCACCTACCATTTCCTCAATTAGGCAAATTATCTTACATTAGAGTTCGTTCCTGTCAGCAAAACTAGCACATGTTTGCTACAGTAGCTTCGGCGATGCTTGGGACTTGTGCCCCCAACCGCAGACGGGACCAGGGCATCCCTGAAACTGCCACTTGGGGGCCAAAACATGGCGCAGGATATATTACTATCCTTGAAGCTCTTGGTTGCTCGCATCCTCTCACTCTCGACCTGACTACACATCATGGTCACCTTTTCCCCTACAATCATGAGTCTGATGTTGTGGTATGCTGTAGCTGGCCTGGCAACCCTAGGCCATGCTTCTCTCGAGAAACGCGCCACCGATGCCTCCGCATACTGCTCCGATTCATCAGGCACCTATAAGCTCTCGTCGATCGCGGCCCCAATCCAGGGCAGTGGAAGCCCAGGCTCGGAATCTACCTGGAAGCTAAGTATCGATGATACATCATCCGGTCACAAGCAGGAAATTACTGGGTTTGGGGCTGCTGTGACCGATGCGACCGTCACGTCTTTCAACACATTGTCGAGCTCGACCCTCCAACAGCTCCTCAATGAGCTGATGACCTCAGATGGTGCTAACTTCTCTCTCATGCGCCATACTATCGGCGCATCTGACCTGTCTGGTGATCCGGTCTACACTTACGACGATAATGGGAACGAAGCAGATCCCTCGCTCTCCGGCTTTGGCCTTGGCGACCGTGGCACTGCTATGGCGGAAATGTTGGCTACGATGGCATCCTTGCAGTCCGATCTGAAGGTACTCGGGTCCCCATGGAGTGCACCCGGATGGATGAAATTGAATGGTGTGATTGATGGCAATACGACCGATAATAACCTCAACGATGGCTACCTTACCAGTGGTGGTACGGGAAGCACCGGCTACTCCAGTGCATTCGCCCAGTACTTCGTGAAATACATCCAAGCATACGAAGCCTTGGGCGCTACGGTCGATGCTATTACTATTCAAAACGAACCCTTGAATAGTCAGTCTGGATACCCCACCATGTATGTTTACGACTATGAGTCTGCGCAGCTGATCCAAAAATACATTGGACCGGCTCTCGCCGACGCTGGACTAAGCACGGAAATCTGGGCTTACGACCACAATACTGGTAGGCATCTCATTCGCGACAATTCTCTTGACAAGTGCTAACAATCGATTTCCAGATCAGACATCGTACCCTCAGACTGTGCTTGATGAAGCAAGTGAATACGTCGACACTGTGGCCTGGCACTGTTATGCCAAGGATGTCGACTGGAGTGTTCTCAGCCAGTTCTACAGCGCCAACCCTGGGGTCAAGCAATACATGACCGAATGCTGGACACCAGCGTCCGGATCATGGCACCAGGCTGCTGATTTCACCATAGGTCCCCTGCAGAACTATGCGTCGGGGGTAATGGCATGGACTCTGGGCACGAACACTGATGATGGCCCGCATCTGACCACTGGTGGATGTGATACCTGCCAGGGCTTAGTCACCATCAACGACGACGACAGCTATACCCTCAATACTGCCTACTACATGATGGCACAGTTCAGCAAGTTCATGCCTCCTGGCGCGACCGTGTTGAACGGAACGGGAAGCTATACCTACTCGACTGACGAAGGCTTACAGTCGGTGGCTTCCTTGAACCCGGACGGAACGCGCACAGTTGTCATTGAAAATATGTTCAGTGATGATATTTATTTGACTCTATCGACGGAGAGCGGAGAGGAGTGGAGCGGAAATATCCCCAGTGAATCGGTGACTACTTGGGTTCTCCCGGCCTTGTCTTGATCAGCTTGTAATTATGTTCGCTTTGTGGAGCGTATATCTACCGGGTGAATTGATAAGATAATCTCGGGCGCAATGCTCTTCCATTCGTTATTAGACTGGGGTTTTGTGCCTCACGAAAAGGCTAGTAAGCGGGTGCCCCTTGAATAAATGAGTGCGGCAACGATCCCCCGAATGTGCTGAAACACCTGATTGCTTGCTTCCTCAGGCTACGTCTTGTAACTGGACACTGCTATTGCTATAGGAAAAGAACAATCGAAGATGAACGTGTTCATCTGATTCTAAATTTCAACTCTGTCTTATAGCAAGATGGGATCTTCCGGCTTATCAAACCCCATACTTGCATTATAAAGCTAGGTACAATCAAGTGGGCTGGTGTGTACTCAATAAGACCTAGGTACTCCGTTGCCCCTTCTAGTAACCACTCAACCACAGTCAATTCAAGCTTGGCGAGGAGCGGGAGATCCCTCAGCAGTGTGCAGATCTTGCTCCTTCACGCAGTTCAAGGGTGCCTCACGAAACTCCTCCGAAGCAGGAAGCTCCACCTGGTAGTTTCTCACCACTGCTGCGGCCAGCTGCCCATCCTCCGCATCAAAATCAATAACATGGCCACCCACAGTACGATCCGCGGACAGCAAATGCAAGTGAAATCCTGGGATGCTAAACCCACTGGTATACCTGGGTGACCAAAACCCGAATAGCGTGCCCTGTATACGTGTGCATTCCCGGATCTCCTGCCTTTTTGCCAGATCTAAAAGGCTTTCCCGTGGTTTGGACTGGGCCGGAATCACGCGAAAGACGACCCGTGAGAATGAGGCAACAAGTCGAATTGAGAGGAAGACGTTCTGCTCATCGGGAAATACAGGTAACAGGGAGTCAAACAGAGAAGTCATGGAGATGCACGGAACATGGCTGGTCAGCGTGGGCTGGAACCTGGTAGTCATTGCGAATGGGATGATGTCTGTGGCCTCGACAGGGCGTAGGGGTCCGTTCGCTGGGAAGTGATACGCTACCCCGTCGATGATCACCAACTCGCCATTAAGACCGCGGATGGTGCCGATACCATGGTCACCGTGTCTGAGGATGTTTTGCGCCGTCGTTCCATCTTGACAGATGCCGTTCATGAGAGCTCCTAGTACGGAGTATTGGTATATGCAGTTTGCCATGGCGGTACCTGGAGGAATAACGGATTTGGATTGAAGATAAACTACTGACGATACTTCTATTTTAAGGATTCGTCCCTGTTCAAAACAGATACGGTACACCTCAGTTTGCCTCTAGACTTTTTCAGGTACCAACACTGCCTCAATCAGGGAGCAATAGAAGATAACCCTCTCGAGATCAACTGATGCAACTGGCAAGCAACACGCAGCCCAAATATCTTGTACTACCATAAACACATACGAGAAGATCCTTTTTGATGATAACATTAGGAGTCTACTGCATGCTTGCAACCCGGTTATCAAGAAACTTCAAGATAGTCCCACACGCATCTGTCCTCATTCGGTAACTAAGTGACGTTTGTTGGCAGATAAGCTCCACCAAGAGCCGTACCTCAATCCCTTGCTTTGATTCCTGGGTTTAGCAGGAATGTATTCTTAACTTGACGACATCAAGTGAATGGCGATCACATGCGTATCCTCGTTCCTTGCTCGGAAGGTTTTCCGAGAGTAGCCCGTTCAACTAGGCTTTCGTCACATATTCGGAAGCATTCTGAAAGAAAGTTTATGATGGGATAATATCACTACCCTACCCAGCTAGTAGATGTTCTACCTCAGGGCGGAGCTGGGCGGCAGTATTCCATACTCGCTTTGTGGATTAGTGCAGCTGCTGTCTAACAACCTTTGAGTATATTCTAACATTTTTGAATATACTGGGTACTACTATCCATGGGTATTACTATTCTGGGCATCACTATTCATGCTTTTGCAGGGGGTTGTGTTACATGGTTAGGATTTAAAGTTCCTCCGAGAAGCCATGGGAGGCTAAGGTCTCACAACCGGCTTCCTGTGCAACACAAGCTCCCCCCCGGAAGAACTACTGTGAGGTTGAGATCTTCCCCTCCAAGAATGTCTTATCCTTGGACAAAGCTACTACTAGGCCTTCGGGAAGTTTCCCTGTACAAGGAAAATGGGCAGGGATCTTCGAGTGCAGGCATGGAACCATATCCATGTCATGCGTGTCCAAGCACAGGACCATTCCTTATCGCCATATGCTGGGAAGTCGCCATCGATGACGCGTCTTACAGTGACTGTCTACCGATAAAAGGAGGAAAGCTAGATAGAAGAGAAATATCCTAGACAAGTAACCTCGCCCTCCATCTTTAGTTGATAGATTTTTGATCTCTCGCCGCAAATGGATGGACGCGAATTTGTTGGACTTTCGGGGGGAGATGTTTTATGCGAGGTTCTTGAAAGAGAGGGCGTGAAGCATATCTGTATTTCCCCAATTCCGTTGATTACTTGACTGTACTGTCGCTGAAAATTACAGTTGGCTACCCCGGCGGCGCGTCTCTCCCGTTAGTGGACAGCCTCTACCGAGCCCAAAAATTTGATTTCATACTTGCACATCATGAGCAGGGAGCGGGGCATATGGCAGAAGGCTACTACCGAACCAGCAAAAGGCCCGGCGTGGTTATGGTGACTTCGGGGCCCGGGAGTTCGAATACCGTTACCCCTATGCTAGATGCCCTGCTCGATGGTACGGCCATTGTAGTGATCTGTGGCCAAGTGCCCACAGCTGCCAAGGGCAAGGGAGCTTTCCAGGAAATTAACATTGATGAACTCGCACGTACGTGTACGAAGTGGTCAACATCTGTACAGAGAGTGTGGGAATTGCCTATGATTGTTCGCTCAGCGTTTCAACGTGCAGTGGAAGGCCGTCCTGGCCCAGTACTTATTTCAGTCCCGAAAGACATTGCTCAAGTAACGTTCGACGAGGAAGCTTTAGAAGCCTACAGGAACTTGAAAGATGAATGTCTGGCACCAAGTCCCGATTCTCCCAGCAATAATACCGCAAACCTCTTGCAAGAACTAGATCACGTTGCGGACATGATCAATGATTCTCGACGTCCAATCATATGCGCTGGGAATGGTGCCCTTGCCACTCAAGAAGGCGTGACGCTGCTGCGAAAGATGGTCGAAAACTATCGCATTCCTGCAGCTACCACGCTCCATGGGCTAGGGTGCTTTGACCACGACGACCCACTCTCTCTAGGAATGTTCGGGACCTATGGGACGGCGTGTGCCAACCATGCGATCCAGAACGCTGATCTCATCCTCGTAATGGGTGCCAGACTGGACGAGCGTGCGGTTGGCAAAGCATCTGGTTTTGCACCCTACGCTCGCGAGAAAGCCAAAGACGGCAAAGGAGGGATCATCCATTTTGATATTAGTCCTCACTTTTTGGGGAAATTTGTTACTCCCACTCGCGTCATCCTCGGAGACCTCTCAAACACGGTGGGCGCGCTCCTCGCGCGATTAAGAAGGACAGAGCGCGCAGAATGGCTAGGCCTAATACAGCAGCTGAAGGAAGAGTATCCTCTTCCACCCATACTATCCGACCACAAGAACCCTCGGCCCCTTCCTCAGGAAGTCGTCACTGAGCTGAATCGCCAGACGGCTTCATTGCAATATTTAGTAACACTCACTACTGGCGTCGGCCAACACCAGATGTGGGCGGCCAAGCAATACGACTGGAAGCATGGTCGCTTTCTGGTCACGTCTGGTGGCCTCGGGACAATGGGCTATGGACTCCCAGCCGCTATCGGGTCGAAGACTGCCCGGCCTAACAATGAAGTAATCTGTATAGATGGAGATGCCTCCTTCTGTATGACGATGGCAGAACTGTTGACTGCATCACAGCATGGCGTCACTGTCAAAGTTATCATACTCAACAACCAAGAACAGGGGATGATTACCCAGCTCCAACGCGAAAGTTACGGAGGGAGGACCTGCTACGCCCGGCAAGACAACCCCGACTTCGTTCGACTCGCGCGCAGCATGAACTGTCAGGGAAAACGCTGCTTCTTCAAAGAGGACTTGCCCGAGTGCATTGATTGGCTTCTACGCTGTGATGGAGTTGCTCTGCTCGACGTGCTAATCGCGGAGACAGAAATGGTCCCCATTGTCCCCAGTGGCCAATCATTAGACTGCATGAAGTTTCAGTAAGAGCTTAGAACTATAGACAAGATCTGTCTTTTCCAGTATACCGAGTTCAATGTATGAATAACTCTCCATTTTTGAATCACCAGAAGCTTTGTTATTAAGCGTGTTTTAAATTAGCCTGTCTTCTAGAACATTGCTCGTTTTAGAGAAAAGTCTAAACCTTATTATTTCTTCACTATTTTCCAGACTTGACCATTCAGCCAACAGTAAATTAGTGGGGCGCCTGTTGTTACAGCTTACAACTCTCCTTGACTCGAGAAGCTTAATCGTCTTTGCTCTACTAGTTGCTTTGTGTGAGTTTTGTGATGTTGCCTGGAATGTTTATCCCACTCTTGAACAACAGACATACAAGGCAGTCTCAAGGCTTGTTCGACGATACGACCATAAAACCCCTTCACCGATTACAGTACTGTTTCCAGAAAGTGCGTCCCCTGCCACGTTCTGGCGGCGCACCGTTCTGGACTGTGCTGATGCAAGGGGAAAGGGATTAGAGGAGTCCACGGGATATCATTTCCGAGGCTAACCCGGAGTTCACCCGCTAGTGCCCTGCAAGTCGCCGACGCCGGCGTCACTAGGGCCAAAAATCCTCACCAGTCAGCCTCTTCTGCTTGATTAAGAGCACCCCGCTTGTACTGAATATTACACATTTCCAAACTTATATCCAAAGCAAAATAGGTGTGGAATTCTCGGTTGACGGTCCGAATGCTACCAATTCACAACTTCCCCTGGTGCAGGTGGTTCCCTGGCATGACTATTTCGCGTCTGATGGGTGACTTCAATCTGGTTCGAGACCATGATAGCACCAGCTGTGGGGCCTTCATGTGGTTCCAGCGTCTGCAGTTTAATGTCCTGCATCATCCGTTCTTCACTTTCGGTGAACGTCAAGCCGACAGTAATCGGATCCCGGCTGCTGGTGCCTCCTCGGCCTCGTTTCCGAGTCGTCCCGCCACCGGTGTTCTGGAATCCTCCTGACGGGAGCTGGTAGGTTCGCTGAGATGATTGGAAGGCGCTGCCAAAGCCCCGGGCTAGCCAGGTTCGGAACAGGTGGAAAATCATAGGGAGATTCGTTGTGATCACGGCGACAAATGTCTCTCGTGTGCCCCATTCGTCTGCTATTGATGCTCCATTATTGGGTTCCTGTGATAGAAATGAGCCGCGGCTTTGCATGTATGTCGAGCGAAGGGATGCTGCCAATGCCTTACCACCAACAGAAAGACACTCTTGATTGTCGCACACACCAGAATGAAGATCCCCGCGCCAAGTACTATTGTCACCGCAATCTTTTTCATGAGCTTTAGGCTGGATTTCCAAAGCATGGGAATTGGTATCAAAACGAGATATGGATCTGTGGCGAGATTTGCAGCAAAAGTCGCGGCGATCACCGGTTTGGAAATAGCAGGTTGACAGGAATCTAGTAGAGAAGCCATGAGCGAACATCCGGATCTAGGATCTCGGGGCGCGAACTTACTGCCGGGGTCAGGATAGATCTGCCAATTCTTGTTGAAGGGCCGGCATGCCGCCAGAATTGTGATCATGCAGGCAATGAAGCTCCCGATAACGAGGGCGAATCCTATCCATATTGGCACGCGATAGCGACGGCCGAGACCGTCCTGTAGAGGGGTCAGTTATCATCTCAATCATGGCTGATCATCAATTGCCTTACCATAAGTCGCGTATAGAACACTAGCATCGACAACTTGAGCGAGCTTATCAACGCTGTATATGTGGCCCAACCGGCAATTTGTATCTTGGAACCAATTATCCTGTTGGCCACTTCTGTCAACGTCCAGTTACTTAATCGGTACGAAATTGCTGACCTTTCTCGATATTCTGAACTGTCTGGAGCCAGTGCAGCTCTCTGGGCCTCTGTCATGCTGTTGTTTGCGAGACCGTGGGCTGCATTTCCGACACTATACGCCAATGCCACTTGCGCTGTGTAAAATACCTACGGAAAGCGAGTGTATTAGCATTGTTTCGAATAAGAAAAACAGTCAGCTTTGAAGGTGCCTACAATAGCAACCCATATCAAAATATCGTCAAGGCGCAATCTTCTCCAGCCCAGATCTTTGCATTGTGAGTATGTCCTAAGTAGCGTCACCACACAGCCGATCCCGTAGAGGGTCCATAGCTGGACATTGCTGTTGTAGGCTGCTTCTGATGCCTCATCCCTCGAATCAATGACTGTCCACATATCTTGAGGCGGACTCCGCCCTGCAATGCAGGCAGGCGTAGTTGCAATGTCCGGAACAGTTCACGCCTCTTACCACCCCGACCGAAAATGCAGCGAGACCTCCTGTAGCCCAGGCACAAAGCTGAGTTCTGCAGCCATTGAAAATTTCTACTCCCACAAAGGAGAGCCTTGGCAGCGAAAGTAAGGTTTGCCAGGCTTCCTTCGTACTCCGAACATGCTCGCTGCCCAATTGACATCAAGAGACTCCAGGGGGTATGGTTTCTTGAACGGCGACCGGCCGATTCTTTTTTAATAAGTTGGGGCGTGAATATATTGACCCTGCTCCACCCCAGAGTCTATTTGGGTCCACCCGTAAGCCCTAGAGAGAGTTAGTCCCTCCGAGCTTCCAGCTTTCCCGCGATCCCCCGATGCTGCCTCGACCCACATATTACCCTCACGTACTCAATCGAACACCGAACAGATTGGACGGGATGGACCGACCGGTTCCCCAAGCGAGCGCTGATGGCCCGGGAGACTACACAAGGACCGCACGCGGCGCTCTTTGGTGCTGCATAACTCGTGATCGGAAAATCGCAAAACAGCGATCGAGTGGAGCTACACCATGGGTATCATATGACGCTTGTCTCACTTTGCAAAGTAACGGCAAAGTCAGATTAGTGTGCTCCGTAATCTCGCATGGCGAAGGAATGCTAGAAATAAACGAGGTGCCCCAATTGCCGGGTCAGGGTCAGTCCATCTGACAAGGATTCCCCGGGTCCTCCGACGTGCAGCAGAAGGGCGGTCGCGTGGCCAGTCATCTTGCCAGATCCCCTTGCTTTAATTTTTTTTTTCTTTTTGCATCGTTCTTCTTTTATTCCCACCGCATCACATTGCCGATCGGGAACTCCCTCTGGCGCCATGTTTCGACTCAAGATGGAGGTGCTCACGGCCATCGCCGCCTGGGCATTCGCCACGGTCTCGCAGCAAATCCCTCGCTCCTCCAGCTGGGAAAGTGACCTCAAGACTCTCTCGGGTAGACTGTCCAACACCTCCCAGGTCTATTTCCCAGGCTCGAGTGGATTCACAAATGCCACCACGCGGTGGTCCGTTCTCGATGAACCCGAGGTTAATGTTGTCGTGGTTCCTGGCACCGAAAACGATGTCGCTGAAATTGTATGTCTCCAATCTTCCAATCCATTCCTTGATTTACCTGTTTCTCCCCTTCTTATTTCCCCCTGTGTCTTTAAGATAATATGACTTAATATGTTGCTGATTGAATCTGCAGGTGAAATTCGCCAATCAGAAGGATGTTCCCTTCCTGACCTACAATGGTGTGCATGGTGCACTCATCTCCCTCGGAGAAATGACTCATGGCATCGCTATCTACATGGGCCAGCTGAGCAGTGTCGAAGTTGCAGCTGATGGCAAGACCGCCACGATCGGAGGCGGTACCATGTCCAAGGAGGTCACCGACCAGCTTTGGGCCGCAGGAAAGCAGACCGTGACTGGAACCTGTGAATGTGTCAGTCTTGTCGGCCCTGCTCTTGGTGGTGGACATGGTTGGCTCCAAGGCCACCACGGTCTCGTTTTGGATCAGTTTGTCTCGATGAACATCGTCCTGGCCAACGGCACTCTGACCCACATCGACGCCAACTCGGACCTCTGGTGGGCTGTTAAGGGTGCAGGCCACAACTTTGGCATCGTCACTTCCCTCACGATGAAGGTCTATGACATTGAGTACAGCGATTGGGCCATCGAAACACTGACCTTCAGTGGCGACAAGGTTGCCGAGGTCTACCAGGCTGCCAACGACTACCTGGTCAAGAACGGCACCCAGGCTGCCGGCGTGATCAACTGGTCGTACTGGATGAACAACGCGGATGCCGACCCCAATAACCCGGTCATCATCTTCTACATCATCCAGGAGGGAGTAAAGACCGTAGATTCCGTCTACACCGCGCCTTTCCGTAAAATTGGACCCATTTCTGTGTCTCCCAACAACGGCACATACAAGGATCTCGCTGCCTGGACCGAGGTTGCTGTTGACTCCGCTCCATGCCAGAAGATGGGCATGGCCAACCCCCGTTACCCGATCTACCTCGGAACGTACAACGTCACTGCCCAGCAGAAGGCATGGGACGTATACGCCAATGCTACCCGCGGCTCCTCGGCGTTCAACAACTCCATCTTCATGTTCGAGGGATACTCTGTTGGCGGTGTCCATGATATCGACAGCCGGTCGAGCGCTTTCGCCTTCCGTAATGAGAACGTGCTGGCTGCTCCCATGATTAACTACTTCCCTGACGGCGCCGAGCTTGATCGCCGCGGGGCTAACTTGGGCCAGGAGCTGCGCAATATTCTCTTTGCTGGGACTGATCGCGAGGATATCCGCGCGTATGTCAACTATGCCCATGGTGATGAGACGCCCCAGCAGCTGTATGGCAGCGAGGGATGGCGTCAGCAGCGTCTGCGGTCATTGAAGGCCAAGTATGACCCTACGGGCAAGTTTAGCTACTATGCACCTATCCCTTAAACGGGGTATAGAAGATTAAACCTGCGGCATTTTGTCAACGCTTAATATCAATGAAGAGGATTATTTTGCATTAACTTGCGGAATTCTTAGTTCGCACTTAGAGAGCAGCCACACTATAGAACTTTAATCAACCTGCAGAGGTTGATGCACTGATTCCATGCATATCGTAACATTGCCATAGAGACTTTGGTCCATACACAATTTGAGAAACATAACTGGGAGTGATTCAAATTGATGGTAGCACATTGAAATTTCCTGGTGAGATATTAACAGCGTTTGCATCAGGAAAGGAACCAGAGAATGCCTGATGTCGGTCCGACTTCCCATTACCCACATAGCTAAGTAGCACGCCATTGCTAAACAGAATAAACATCCCCCGTCGGACCGAGCCAAAGATTAGCCTCCCGCAAGAAATGCGCACTTTCATACCGCACAACCTCGATCAGATGCATCGGATCCACCTCTGACGGCTCGGGGAACGACACTGAACCCTCACCCTCCCAGATCTCCTTCGCCGTGATTTTAAGCGCCAGAGGCATCAACTCCCTCACCGATGGAGGCTGTCCCGCAATCGGCGAAGGCAGCACACGTAGATTCATACAGCGTGTTTCGACCGTCATCCCCACATCCGGGACCGCCTGCTTCCGAACGGGACTATAGTTCATCTGTAGGATCTTCTGGTGTGGAGGATGCTCGACATGTCCGCGCATCACTCGGGTCCCACATGGCTCAGACGGGTTGAACTCCACTGTACCGAACTTCTTGGGGAAGCCGTATTGCTCTCGGCCAGCTAGGACGGGGGACTCGTTGTCAAGGATGAGGGAGAGGAAAAATTCATATTTCTCCCCGCGGTAGCGCACGTCCACGCCGTGGGTGTACTCGTTGTATGGGCCGAAGGAAGTCATGCTGTGTCGGAGGAGGCGGACGGTGATGAGAGGCTCGTCCTCTAGTTCAAGCATGTTGGGAACGAAGGGAGCGACGCTTTGTGCGGTCGTACGGTAGGTTATGACTAGGATGGTTGAGCCGGTGAAGTCGCAGTCGCCGGTGGGATATGGTGGTGCGTATTGAGGGATGGCATCCCCAGTGAGCTCGAAGGTACCGAAAGGCATTTTGATGTCGTGGTTTTGATGGCAAGGCTTACTAGTGGGATAGTTATCCTTTTGTAGAACTTTCGCGGGATTTTGCAGCTGGGCAAACTAGGGGAGGGGATCTCAGATATACCATAATCCCAGCAGACGACCATGGCAGCTGCGTGGGTGGATTGGGCTGGGATACGATGTTGATTACGAGTTAGAGAAGGGGTCCAGCCATTTTCTCCGTATCGCTGCCGAGCGAAGCTTAATTGTTCCGAACAAGATGCTTGTTTAAGCTTGATTCTCAGTGACCCGGTCTCGAATACGAGGGTCTCTTTGTTCCCCACCAAGATCAAACTCTGTACCCGAACAAGTCTAGGCTGTTCTACTGCAAACCTGACCACGAAAATTGTATTCTCACGGGATGTACAGCCGCCGGCTCCGAACCTCTGCCGGGGTAAAAAGGGTGCTGCAGCTTCCTACCTTCAAGCGACAGAGGTATCCGGACGTCAAATGATGACAGTTCTGATGATGGGTGCGTCCAAGCAGGTTAATACTTAATGAATATTTAATGGGAAGTGGAAAGTTCATCATTTGGCTGCTCTCCAACTGACCTGAGTTATTGGATTTTTTGGGACCTGCCGTGTATAGACATTTAATGTCTAATCATTAAAGTCATTTCGTCGCATTATGTGAAGGATATAGGTGATATAGAGAAAGCCGGACACCGATCAGTACGGCTATACCTACGCAGCCTAGTTTGGGAACCCCCAAACACAAAGATAAATAAACAACAAACGATATGAAAGAGAAGAAAAGGAGAATCAAGATAATGTGCTGAAACTAGCGGTCGCAGTATATTTTTGCTGTCAAAAAAAAAAAAAAGGAATCTCCCCGACTGGGAGTCGAACCCAGGTCTCCCGCGCTTGTTCCCGAAAGGGATTGACAAGCGGAAATCATGACCGTTAGACCATCGAGGATTGGATGAACGTTTAAGCGAGATTTTTGTCTCATGAACATTTAATATAATAGAATATGTACGCCTTGCAAGCGAAAGGTTCGCTGGGCTGGTTGGATATGGGTGAAATCTGAAGTACCCAATGCCAATATAGGGCGGTATACCCAACCAAGTAATCTTCACAACTTCAACTTCTACATACGCACTGGCTAGGATAATTTCAACTTACTGGTTCTAGGTCGTGAAACAGTCGTGCTGAAGTAGACTTCCTATTGTCATGATTATATATTTTTGACAAGGAGTGTCTGTATAAGTATACATTGAGTACATTCATATATATCGACTGTGCGATGATCACGACCATGATGCAACTGCCTCATAACCTCGACACTTTCGATTTCAGCCCAGTGAGAACCCCATCACTCTCGCGAATACGACATTGTTGGGCCATTCCACTTATGGCGGCCTCGCACCAGCCAATCCCCAATGGCAAATAGCATCACAAAGCCCAACACCGGCCCAGCATAATTCATGGTCTCCCCAGTGACCGGCACCTCAGACGGAAAGGGTAAAAAGATGGAGAAGTAGGTGGCGAAAAGGATTGCTACCAGATTGATGGGCAGCCCCCACTTTCCCAGAGAGAATGCCCCCTGTGGAATGTCTTTCGGTGCGGTGAACCTTTTCCACACCAGAAGAACCAATGGGATCAGATATGAGATATATAACCCCAACGTACTCAAGGAGAGAATGGCGTTAAAGGCGGCTGATGACCCGATCTGAATAAAGGAGAGAAGAATTACCAATGTTGTAACGAGGAACAATGCCCGAATTGGGATTTTGAATCGTGGATCAACCTTGACGAAGAAATCAGAGAACGGAAGGCCGTTGTCTCGCGCGAAGGCCCATGTAAGTCGGGTGACAGAAGCAAGACCATTGAACAGTGCAATCCAGCCCGGAAGCATGCCCATGGCCATAAGCACGTATGTGGCCGCTTTGGAGCCGGTGGCTTGGTAGGCGATGGTAATGATGGGGTATCCTGTCGGACTCGTAAGGGCAGCGGTGTAGTCGCCCATACAATAAAGGACGGCGATGAGATAGCCAAATGCCATGATAGAGTTGATTATGGTGCCGTAGATCATCGACCGAGGGATAACGACTTTAGCGTTCTTGACTTCCTCCGACATGTGGATGATGCCGTCGACTCCTAAAAAGATTGGTTAGTTGGTTCGTAGTATGCTCAGGGCGGAGTAGAGGTACCACTCAAGGGGGTGATGACGCCCAATAGTCCCACGGAATACACGACTCCTGGATTTTCCCAGCCACTGAGGCCACTCACAAAAGTATCCCAGACAAAAGCATTGGAATTGCGCGGGGCCAGGATAACAAATGTCGCAATCATCACGGGAAGGAAGACAACGTGCATCACCCCAGCTGCGACTTCGATGATGGCGAGCAGGCGCCGGGCGAAGATATTGATGACGATCGGAATTAAGACCACTGCCCACATGAGCAGAGTTCCCTGCCACCGTTTCGCATCATAGTCCGGATAGGCCAGGATAGCCATTCCTTCGATCTCGGTGCCGATGAAATAGGGCGATATGCAGACCAGTGCAGCCCATGAGAAGAACTGGATTGTGTTAGAAAAGGTACAGTGCTCGAGGGGCCAACAAACGTACGGTAACCCAGCCTGTAGAGATCCACGACTAGTCAGTTTATTATGTCCAGCCACGATACAGATTTAACTGTGAAGGTCTAACCTTGGAAGAAACTGATGAAACGCCGGTAGCGCGGTGCCAGAACGTAGCTCCAGTGATACTGCGCCCCAGCCGTCGGGTGCCTAGAGGATCGAAACGTTTGATCAGCAATATGTTCTTGAAACAACTCTATAAGAAACCGGGACCACGTACACTGACGCGAGTTCAGCCAGTGAAGTGGCGATTGCCAGATTCCCCACACCACTGATAATAATTCCATACACAATGGCAGCAGGACCTCCGTTGAAAAGACCGGCCTGCAAGCTGCCTCCAGCCGATTCCCATGACGCCAGAAGAGTCGCAGAGAACGCCAGGGAGGAGAAGAAATTCAAGTATCGCTGGAAAAGCCATGTTAGCATGCGAAAACTGGGGGGTGATTCAGATGAGGGCAATCATGTACGTCTAGCTTCTGTCGCTGACGGTACTCGACGCTGCTGCTTGCAGCATCACGCGGGCTTCCATCAGCAACCGTGGATCGGACGGCACTGCCGCTTTTCATTTCAACCTCCTCATCTAGCATCTTATACAAGCGGTGTCAATGATATCAGTTTTCAGAAAAGAGTGCATCAAGTGGCGGTGCTGATGGAAGAATCGCCCACAATGCAACTTTCTCTGAATAGGGACAGATGGCACCAAAAGGACTGGGAAATATTTTGGAACCTTGAGCGTCCGACTTCGGGGTAGGCTCAAATAAATGCAGGGATGCCATGCAGGCCGATTTCAGGGAACCCTCCGGACATTGTCTGGAAGTGGAATGATGGCGCTGTGTCTTTGCAGACACTCTGGCCGATTCTGGTGACGCGGCATGCGACCATCTGCAACTGTCGTTTGAGCGAAACAGCATTCTAAGCAAACAATGGACAAGAACATCGAACTAAAAGAGGGCGACCCCGCCGTTTAGATTGAGTGACATGGGGTCTCGACGCCGGTTAATGGGACTAACGGCACGGAAGGCATTTAGGGTGCATTAGCAGCATCTCCGGGCTCGGACCATCGGAGAATCCACCACTGATCCCCCACAGCGTAAATTGCGCCTAGAATGACTCCGTCCGTTGCGACAAAGACAAAATAATTAGCTAGCTTCAGCGGAGCAATCTCGCGGGAAAATCTATACTCGCCAGGACAATTACGAGGGTTGGATCACAGATAGCAGCCAGGCTCCTTGGCCACAATCCTAGAGTTTGGAAGTGTTAGGCATGTCAACAGTGGCAATAAAACGTAATTTTCAATGGAGAGTCTTTCTGCAACATCGAACACAGGGGTGATGGTATGATCAATTGTTGGTGCCTGACTCCAGGGGACTAGTGTTGAACCGGCGACATGAGGTCTCGTCCACCTCGTTTACACGCCGACCAGCACGACAAGGATTATGATCCCGGTAGCCAAGCATACTCCATTTACTGCGCCAATAAACAGATATCCTCTTCTCGAAATTTTACTTTCGCTATAATCTGCTCTGTCATCCGACCCCGTCTCTAAATTATTGACTATTCGATTATGTCCTTCCATCACCGTGATCATGGCTGAGACCGAAGCTCCCTTCGAGACACTCTCAGATGACAATCATGGACCACTCATAACTCTCGTATCTGTTGCACTTTTAATTGTCGCCATTATCTTTGTGGCAGCAAAGCTATGCTCGTTGCTCTACTTCAAACAGCGTCGGTCTGCTGTCCATACACCCGTATGGCTAGCTCTGGTGGGTGGTTAACGGCCCAAGGAGCACAGAATCCTCTAACCAGTCATTATACTTAGGTGCTACTGATTGTCGAGGTGACAGTGATACAAAAAGGTGTTGACAGTGGGATAGGCCGACATATTGACAGTCTGAGTGACACAGCCATCCAGACAGCTAGCAAGGTTAGTTCTTTCCATAGCATTTCCAACGAGCAGTCACCAAACTTGGCTCTGTGATATAGTACCTCTACGCTGCGCAGCTCCTCCATGTCATCGTCCTCTCATTATCCGAAATCTCTACCACGCTGCTCGTATGGAAATTGACACCCCATCGCGGCATCCGCCAAACGTGTCGTATCACTGTCGGCCTTGTCGGGGCCTGGACCATTTTCGCCGTCTTTGGGATTGCATTCCAATGCGAGATGCCTGACCCGTGGCTCTACAGCTCCTCTCACTGTGCTGGGCAGGTATGCATACTACAGGAATTTTAGGATGTGTGTGTTCTGACTTTTCATAAGCGCTCGATTCTCTATTCTATCTCGATAACACACATAATAACAGAACTTGTCATCGTGGTCATCCCATTCTTCATGATGCGCAATGTCCAATTGACACTCACGACAAGGGTGAAGATTCTAGCTGCTTTC